GAGTATTTCTCAGGTTTCTTCAGTGCACCCTCCTCAGAGGCCACAGGGTGTGAGCCACCTGACCCTGTTGTTTGGCGCCCTCCGAGGGGGTCCTCTTTGCGAAGTTGGAAGTGGCTGGCATAGTCACCTGGCTCCGCAAGACAGCTCCTTCTCCTCTTGTTCTCATGTACAGCCTCTCGATCAACAACCTCCACATAAATGAAGTCTCCTTTGTGGACCGAGAAGAAGGCACTCGTTACCCATTGGCCGTTCAGGGACAGATGAGACTGCCTAGTAGCCAACTGCAAGAACGGACCATTGAACCATCTTTGCAGAAAAAATTGCTTGTTCACCCAGCCCGGGGAGAAAATAACATGGATGTGAGTACCAATTGCACGTGGGTTAATGCCATCATCAAATTCCACCACCACCAAGTGGGGTCTCAAAGCTGGCGGGGTCAGTTCCACCAGAAGGACCTTCTCGAAGCGTCCCAGTAGCCACGAAAAGCTAGTTGACGCATGGGCCTCCAGCAAATTCCAGTTCTGGGACACTTGAAGGAGGGGCCATCGTTCCTGGGCCCAACTCTTCACCCAGGCTTCATGGTGGTAGATTTCGAGGATGAAAGTATCATGTCTGGTCGCTGCCATGACATTGCCAGACGAGGGTAGCAAGACTGCAGCTTCCCCTTCACTCATGTATGTAATTTCCAGCAGCAGATGTTGTGGTTCAATGGCATAGGCCACGTCCACATCCGCCATCCCACGATCAATCCTTCTTCCAAAGTTTCTCCACATGGCTGAGTCCCATACAAGGATCTGTAACTTGTCCCCGTGCTCCAACTGCAAAAGGTCCCAAGGAGGAACCTGCAAGCCATTGTGGGAGATTCTCAGGTCTGCGACTTCAATCACCAAATGCTCCGGGAGTAGGTGTCGAAGATCATTAGCCTGGATCTCCATTGGGAGAAGGATAGATGAGAGAGTGGCAGCACACATCCACCTAAGCTGGTAAACTACTTCAAAGTGAACACAGGAGACACCTGCTCGTCTTCCCATCTCATCAATGTTCATGATGGCCAGAGGCAGCACACGGGGTGGCAGCATAGACCCTCTTCGTGAGAAAGGGAGAAAGTCCCAAAAGGCCTCACGCAGCACCAACCATATGGTAGTAACTGTATGTGACAGACTCAAGGAGCGGTCCCATCGAAGCGGCCCCACAGCGACATGGGAGGTGAAGAGGACAGGATAGAGCAAAAGGGAATCGGGAACACCTTCAGCATCCAGAAGGTCTCGAAAGTCCGCATCGAGTTCGCCCTGGAAGTCTGCCATCTCATGTCCACAAGGTGTTGCTCAACTCGATTGCGTTGTCTGTACTCTCTTTCTACTTGCTCATGTCCTGACCTTCTCTGGAAGTCGTGGAAGAGACTTACTCCATCCCCCTCCATGCCTCCTTCAAACCCTGCATTGGGCGGGTCTGCCATGTACAGGTCAATCGATAAACCTGTCCTAGCATTGCAGGAGGATGATCTCAACTGCAAATCCAAACGTTGCCATCCCCGGATCCGGAATAGTTCATGGTGAATTTCCTGTACTCCATCCAGAAATAAACTGCATTCATGAGAAGTGGCACAGAAAGTTTGGACACCGAGGAGTTCGATAACCTGCTGCTTCGAAGTGACAAGATTGCACTCAATCGCTCTCATAAAAGGATCTTGGCTCAAGTCAACGAATTCAATCACGACCAGACTTGGTACACGCGAGTGGACAAGCCAATGGTCCGACAACAGCAGGTGAATGTCATCAGCTCCACCCTGTTGGTTCGGGGTAGGTTGTGGGTCCACATAACCAATGAGGATTCGATGGTCAGGCCCAATAGTCTGAAAACTAAGGCGGATGGCCAGCTTCAGATCAACTTCATTCAGGCTCCCCGTCCAACTCCAGGTAAAGCTTCTCGGCAGATCCAACCCAGGTTGGTGAACAACAAACTTGGGTGGGAGGCCTCGTGATCTCAAGATCATATTGGCCTCCTGCGCAATGACATCAAAGTGCAAAATGCTGGTAGTACTGATCATCAGCTCCTCTCGCCCCCATACACCCGGTGGGGTTTCAGTTGTAACCGACGCATAGCGCAACCAGAATGGCAGATCAATACTGTGCTGGAAAAAGGAGCCCACATCATCCAAACCCTCCCTGAGGGACCGGTCAGCTACTTGTTCATCAGCTACAGGAGTTGAGAGCCCGTCTGCCAGCATATTATTCCATGAACGGAAGGAGAGAGCTTGAGTCTGATGCAAACACATAGCTTCTTGCTCGATCTCCTCTTCCTCATTCATAGTGTCGTTATCCCCAGATTCTTCATCATGAGAACTTGACAAAGGCTGCACTGTCGTTCCTTCAGAATCAGCAGAGTTGAGCGACCCCTCTGAGGAACTGGGTTCCGGGAGGCAAACTGCAAAAAGGTGAGTTCCTTGCTCAAGCAACAGTGTATCGCCAAACTCGGCCTGCACTGGTGCAACAATTTTGCAAGGCTCTTGCGAACAGATGCAACCATGCGTGCCTCGATCAAAGAGCTCCTCCACACTTATCCTTGCCAGCTGCCCAATCTCAGCCTCCTCTAGGAAACTGCCATGCCAGGACTGCCAGAGGCGGCGGAAGCTCACAAAGAAACTGAATCGGTATGTATGTGTATCCTCCCAAACAACGAAATGTCTCAAGCTGCTTGGTGGTGGTGCAGGCACAATCTCTTGCCACATGCTTCCCATAGGGAAAAGGTCCCGCAACGGGCTCCCTCCCAACATAGGTCTCTCACGGAACCTCCTTAGAGAAACACGGAAGTTGTTCAACTGCATCTGATGCCTCCAGAGGAAAGTGTGCACCCAGATCATAATGAAACCGCCTCCTCGATTTGAATCAAAGAAGTCAACTTCAGATACAGGTGCCAGAGTTCCCTCACGTGGTGATGCAGGATCAACAAAAATAGCAGCTGCCTGCATAAGTGTCGTCTCATCCGAAGTCATGGGCGCTCCCTCAGGGAGAATCCATTGATCCAAATGTTCAGAGACGAATCGAAGCGTATTCAGGGACTGCTCATAGAGAGACTCCCCCCACAAGGCATCCCAAGGTGCCCAGTCATCAGCTGCACATTGCTGAGCAGCTCCTTCCACACCCGACGATAGGACCAAATACACGAGAAGGCAAGAGATGTTCTGTCTTTTTCTCATCAATCTTGACTTCCGCTCGCATCGAAGAGGTCGTGGTTTATGCGACTTGCCCTTCCACAGCAATGTGGAAGCAATGCATCCAAACATCATCCCCAACTCCAAAAGCAAGATAGTGCATTGAACAACCAGCAATTGGAGGCCCTTGCACACCAAAGTCCACAAATCATGCAGGCTAGTCAAGCTGGGTTCCATGAGACGGCTTGGACGAAAGCATCGAATTCGTGTGAAAACCCTCAAGGAGTCAGCCCAAAATGAGTGAAACTTCAAAAAGGGCGCCCAAGGGATATAACAGGGATTGGAGGAAAGCCATCCCCAAACATACAAAACGTTTCAAAGAAGCACAAGGAGCTTATACCGCTGAACCCCCACCAGCTTCTTTCGGCTCCTCTTTGTTCTTCTTCTCTTCTGACTTGGCCTTCAACTGTGCTTGTCGAACTTGCTTGGGTGATCCAGGTTTGGCCGCCGACCCAGCTGAGTTCCTGCGCCTCGAGAAGGCCTTGACATCTGGAAGCTCCTTCAAAGCAGATTTGTCGACTATCTCTTGATCCTCTTCCATCCCATCTGGGATCTCGATGTCGTCTGCGTCGAGGTCTCCATCTTCCAGATTGTAAATCTCTGTATGGCCCATCATCAGCAGAGCTTCCTCCGGAGTTGGAACTGGAATACCCGATTCCTCTGTCTTGACATCGGTTCTGAGGGATTCCACAACCTGTTTCACCTCCTGTCTCACGAAGGTCAAGTTGTCCTGAGCCTCCTTGAGCTCTGCCTGCTTCTTGACACGGGCATCTTGGTAGGCCACAAACCTGTCCTGCAGGGATTTCTTGGCCTTTGCAACAAAAGTCCTCCACCCATTGTCCTCGTCTTGCAGGGCTTTCCTGCAGGCATCCACCTGCTTCTGTGCACGCCCCATCTTGGACAAGTGTCCATGAGTGAGCCTCGGACTTGAATCCTGGTTCTGCTCCAACTGGTCGATGGCTCTGATCACATTGTTGGCTCCCGCGCCAAAATGCTGTTTCAAAGCTTCCAAGTGCATCTGAATGCCAGTGCTTGCGGCCGCTGCAGAACCTCCGGCTCCCGCCGAGGCAGGAGGAGTAGGAACTGCAGCCTGAGCAGGCATAGTTGATCGCATGCGCCCCTTCGGAGTAGTGCTTGGCCAAGGTTCTCCAGAGATCTCCTTGGCATTGGGCTTGGTGGCTGGTGTGAAGGGATCCTGCTCCTCTTGCCGCTGTCGGGATTTGGATCTCGTCTTCTCTCGTTTCCAGCTCACCTGGCTGTAATGATAGCCGCACCCTCCGCAGTATTCTGCTTTTGGAGCGTTCACGTGCAGACAACCGCACACCCACCTCGATGGCATGTTCAGAATCTTCTTCACCTTGGCTGTGAGGGAGCTCCCGTGGTGGAAGAGAAGCCGCTGTGCTGCTCTCCAGGTAGCCTTGTTCGACTTCCCACCTTGTCGGAGGAGGAGTGCTCTCGCCCTCGCTCTGCCCCGCCGGAGCCTCCTGTGCCAGCCAGGTTCCTTTCTCACCGTCACACCCGAGATAGAGCAGACTCAGAAAAAACCTCAAAAGGCGAACGCAGCCAACCATGCGCGGCCGGCGCGTCCTAAGGCACACTGTCCTAAACCTATCGGGTAGGGGGGACTACCCGACAGGTCCCAGAGCCTTCCAAAAACAAAAAAGAGAAAAGAAAAAAGAAATAATCACAAAAAGAGAAAACAACAATCTATTTGGAATGGCCTCCAACCTAGAAGCGATAGCCAACCTAATAGCATCCTCCCATCGATGCAAGGTAATGGGAAGCTGTCCTTGCTTTGGCTCCCATCTTCATCATCTTCCACCTTGCAGGGCCACATGACACATGCTTGTCCGTCGGGAACCGTCGACAAACTAGACAACTGTCTCCGTTTTGGTCGGCCTTTTGGAGATGATGAAGATAGGACACGAAGGATAGACTGCTGAAGCCTCGCCAAAGCGTGAGAGGCTCCAAGAGAGGAGGCGCAATCTTGGCCAATTGGTCCAGCCGCTGCCGGTGACCAAGCGCAGCCTTTTGCAGCCGGCCGCCGTGGCGCAACTGCCGATTTAAGCTGCGGTAGTTCGCCGCCGCAGCGTCAACGTACCTCGGAACTTGGTTCAAGAAGGGCCCAAAAACGTATAACAAAGAATGCGTGGCAAAAGGTTCAAAAAGGGGTCGGGAACAATGGAAATTGAAAAGGAACCCCTTCTGATACATCCATTCAAGAGCTTGTACAAATCTCAAGAAATAGTATTCAATAGAAACGTCTTCAACGGAGCAACCATCTCACCGTCTCCAAAAGTTCTGTGGCGTCTTGTCGCTGCTGCAGCTCTGCATAGAAGGACATCACTGGCCACAAGCCGCCTTGGAGCGAATGAGGAGAATCGGCCGAAGTAAAGAAAAATTGACAGAAAAGAAGTCAGCTGCTGAGGTTGTCATTCCACTTCGTCCCACCTCCATGACCAAGAAGCAATGGAATTGAAGGGATTCAAAGCGTCAGCAGGTACATGGCTTAAGGCCAGGGATCGGTTGTCATAATTCTAATTAAACTATATCAAACTTGTTTCTAATGGCTTCTTGTTACTACTAGTAAGGCACTTGTTACTACTAGCATGGCACTTGTTACTACTAGATTTATGACCCATGGCCCATCGCTTCTAGGTTGGAGGTCACGTTTGAAAGTTCCCCTCTTTGGGCAGGCGGAGCGACGGGAGCGACGGCCGATCTGTCTCTCCAAGGAACGTGGGATGTCTGTGAGTGTCCTCACTGAAAGAAAAAAGACACAACCAAGGAACAGAAGGGATGAAAATGGTCTGAAAGCAGGTAAAAAAATGTAAATAAAAAGAATGAGCGTAAAGAAAACAGGGACAGCACAGAAAGCACAAGCATTGTCCTTACTTCAGGACAACAGTTGGTGCAAAGCCCCAGGGCGCCGATGCGTCGCATAACCAGACTCATTGCCATGACTACGGCGGCGGAAGACCCCCCAAAAGCTCAGTCTTCATGCTGCGAACAAAAGCCACTGCACAAAAAATCTCAGGATCAAGACTAAGATTGAGAAAATACATGAAAATACATTGCATCTCTTGTTCTCAAGATGGAGATGTTTCATCAACTCGAAATTGGCCAAAAGACTCTTGTGCCGAATGTGAGCGGTAGAGCCGGCAGTGGGTCACCAAAAGGATCAGGCACAATTCAGTTGGCGCCTTGAATCTCGTTGCCCTGGACGTCACGAGGCACTAATGAACCTGGCGTCGATTCGAGCCTAGGGTCTATCGAGGTATGGAAATCCATAGATCAAGGCGTTCAGTCGTATTGCTGATCAAGGAGCAGGTTACTTCAACGCCCACCGGCCAAGGTGGTGGAGGGACACAAAGAAGGCTTGAAGTCTCTGCCACCGGGAGGTTCACTGAGAGGTGCAACCTCAACTCAAAAGGTGCCATGCCGGAGTGCATGGGGTTTTCATGATCTACCACCTCAGGAAACAGTTACTAGTAGGGATGCCCTTGTTATATACTAGTTTCTAACAAGAGATGACAAGAAGAAGAGCCCTGGGCGGATTGTGTACATACTTTCTTTGTGACGGCCGGTGGCCGCTGGCTGGACGCAAAGCAACCCGTCAATCCATGCCGTGCAGCAGCTGGGAAAGCACTGCGTACCAACTAAATTCTAGCTTGGTTTTCTTTTGGGGGTCAGTCCCCGAAAACCCTCCAGCTTCGTACCAAACATAAGATTGAAAAAAGAACTGGATAGCCGCAAGGAACAAACGCCTACGCAAAGCCAGTGCCCATGGACGGTGACCTGCGTTTTGCTACTTCTGGTAAGGGGTACTTCAGCCCAAAGGCCTTACCTTTTTGCGTTCTCGTCAGTCAATCTGATCTATAAACTGTGCCATTCACATGAATCTGGATGCTATCTACCGGGTAGATTCTACCCTGACGTTCCAGCCAAGCTGCAAGAGGCTGGTAGTGGCCACCGGGCGGAGCCCACCAAAGAGTTCAGAGCTTTGACTGTAGAGCTCAAAGGTCAAGTTGTGCGCTTGAGGCGCAGGGCCTGAAGTTGAACGAAGCGACTTTAAACAACTTGTCAAATCAACTTTCCATATGTCTTCTCTATGATTGTCAAACGTGTTTCTTTTGCGGAGCGACTTATTGTTATTCTCGAATTTGACAGCAATATGAGCCAGCTGGGAGGCCACATAAGAGAACGATACCCTCTCCAGCTGCCTCCAATTGTGCTACGAAAGTCCGTTCTCTGGAGGTGAACTGTTTTAAATAGCAATGGCCTCCTAATAGCCATCTTTTATATAATAGTTATAACCGTTCTGTGTCATTTGAAGTCATCTGCTCTTCGTTGCGTTTTGAACTTCCACCTCCAGCAACTAAGCAAGCACGACCTTCTCAAGCGGAGATCCCAAAGTCTTCGTTCCTGTCTTCGTTCCTGTATACCTTTGATGCCTTTTTTGTGTACCTCGAAAAGAAAGGTCGGCCATCATACGTCGGCCTACGCCTTCCTTCTTCCTTCTTCCCTTCCCTTCCCTTCCGTTTAAAGTCCTTTCCTCTTTTCCTTCCTTCTTCCCCTTTCTCTCGCCTTCGGGAATGAGCACCACGTCCCAGGCCCCGCTCTGCAATGGTTCGATCCTCCAGTGTCGGCTGCTGAGCATATCGCTGCTACGTCGGCCCGCCACATCGGGGGGATCACTGCGGAGGTGCAAATAGGACGCAGGGTCGCGGCCTGAGGCCCGAAAGCGGCGAAAAAGTGGAAACAACTTTGTCCAAATTAAAAACATATAGAAAACCCTGAGTACTAGTGACATGATACCACCTTCGGGCCTTCGAATGGTTGCAACGTAAGTCCCGGCGAGTCACGAGTCTGCAAATTGCCGTAGCGATCCGCAGACTGCAAACGGAGAAACACGTCCTGCGACCAGAAAAACGACCAAAGAGGACCGTGATGTTTCAATTTCACTGTGTTTCCGAACAGGTTCTTGTCTCTCTTAGAGCGTCCTTTCCAACCACTCCATGAAGGGCATTGTTTCGCAAGCCCCCAACAACCTCCAAGCTGTGAACCTTGACTCCAAGTTGAGTAGAAGTCACTAGCACACTAGGGTGGAGGCCATCGCTACGTTGAAGGCCATCACGGTAGACACGGCCATCACGGATGTCTTCAGGTCTGCACGGTTCACCAATCTCTCAGGTCTGTGCGTCAATGGCAGGGTTCACCACGTGCATGAAGGGGTTGTACGGCTGATGCAACCTCGGTGCAAAATCTGTGGTTCAAGGTGTTCCCAAGTTCACAAAGGGATGCTTTGGGCAAGAGATCAAGTGAACTGTTCAGAAAATATTTGGGAAATCGCTATTAGGTTGGAGGCCAGCTTCTAGCTTGGATGCCACTCCCATTAGCAACTCAAAAGAAAATATGCTTAACATTGCCACGGAACATCTCCTCGTAGTACATGTCCTCGGCCTGCAAAATGTGGAATGGCACGGTGTTGCTCCCGAAACCAAAGCTCAAAAAGGCCGGGATGTTACGGGTGGTCTCACCCATCCAGTGGTCGTACCTGGGAGAAACGCACAAGTATGAATCAAAGCAGCACAATGAGACACCACACCCATGTAGTTGTGTAGAAGTATTGTTGGTGGAAGTGAAAGAATTCTAAAATTGCAAGTCTAAGACCTTCTCCTTCTCCTTCTTCTTGTTTCATTCTGAAAGGTGCATGGGTTTTTGGTCCAACACACAAAATCAGCGATATGGTAAGTCTGTGCAGCAATGTTGCAAGATCTCAATCGGAACAAAACCTCGGACAGGTACAGATTGGATCATGACCAGGCACTGTTGCAGCTCAACTGTCGCAGCTGTTGTTTCATGAAGAATCTTATTCCAGGCCTTGCTGAAGTTCAGCAGCCATGTCTACAGCACTGTTGCCCCGGTCAATACCTCAGAACAATGTCGCATGGCGAGAAGAGACTGCAGACACAAGCCGGTCGAAACGAAGCAGTGAGAAGTGAGAAGTGACGTCCAAGAACGAAAGAAGGAGGGAAGGGAGATAACAAAAAAGGGTGAAGGTTTTAAAATCTGTTAAAACACAACAAATCAAGAGCTGAAATTGACCAAAGACACCGCTGGAGCCACTTGGGGATATTTCTGTGCCATTCAGAAATACACGACCGCCAGTGTCGGAGTTCAATTGGAACGTGTACCTGGCGCCACAAGCAAGGTCCATCGAATGTCGACGTAACACGGTGACAAACGTCGTGCCCTAACTTCGTGCCCTCCTTTTGTCGAGTAGTAACAAGTGCCACGCTACTAATAACAAGTGCCTTACTAGTAGTAACAAAAAGCTATTAGAATTAAACTAAAATTAAACTAATTCTAATAGCTTCTTGTTACTACTAGTAAGGCACTTGTTACTACTAATAAGGCACTTGCTTCTTGAGATATACTTCTCTCACAGCGAGTGAACCACGTCCTCGAAACGCCTGTGCTCTGCTGCCAGTGCTTCTTCCTTACAGGCCTGCTGAACTAACATCATCTCGTCGCAAAATATCACAGCTTCGACCTCTCTTGCAGTTGCTTCTTCAAGCGCGACAGCCGCAAATTTCAGTTCACCGCGCTTTGACGCGACTCTGTGAAGGCAGAATCTGCTCGGCCAAGCAATCAGGAGACCCACCAAGGAATTCACTATGAATGGTGACCTTGGGACATCCAACACGCGCATGTTTCTTGAAGTTGCTTGATCCTTGCGGCTCCAACCTTGTTGCGTTCCTGCAGTATGTTGCCTACTCTTGCAGCTCGGACTGTTCAATCAAGACTGCCTGCACCTGCTCCTGATGCTTCTTCAGGTGCTACTTTGTTGCAGTTTCTTGAGTTGTATGTGTCTGTAGATATATGTATATATATAGCCTTTCTCATCCCACCCATCCAACAACCATGAAACCCGTTCTGTTCACTGGTCAGTGTTGATGAAACCTTCTGAAGCCGCTCCATGCGAGTGCAAGCAAGTCCTGTGCACCTTCCCCAGATTAACAATCTTCACTCCACAACAACACAACCAAAGGACTTGCTAGTGGTCTTTGTCCTTGTTGGTGGCTTTGTTCGACTATCATGACTGTGATCCAGACAACACTGGGTTGGAGTGACCGACTGCCACCTGCCCTTTGTAATTCAATGATGTACTGGGATAGAAGTGTGAGCACACGGGTGATGATTGTCTGAACAGTTCAAAACCTCATGATTTTCAGAAGACCTTAGGAACAAAGGGCATTACTAGTAGTAGCTAGAAGCTACTAGTAGCAGGGGCATCGGTAGTAATTAGTACCAAGTGCATCGCTACCAGTAGCCAGAAGCTACTAGTAGCATCTAGTAGCTATTTGCTACTAATAGCGATGCACTTGTTACTAGTAGAAGCTTGGGTTCAAACGGGCGGGACCCCTTTCCCGCAGCAAACCACTCAATAAAAATCAAGGATATCTCCAGAAAACGTGTTGTAGATAACCAGGTGGTACTTTCAAGTGATTCGTTCGTCATGGTTTGTCTCCAGTTAATTCATTGATCTTCCTCCTTCACTGCTGTTTGGCAGTGATGGGAACCAGCATAGCGAGGATGTTGGGATTGGCATAGTGTTGTTGTGGCATTCATCCCGGAACTCTTGATTACGCCAAACCGATTCCATCCCTAAGCATCGACGTGTTAAGCATGAACTGATTGCTTCCCGAAACAAAAGAGCTTGACATCCTGGTTGGCGGCCTGTCGCTGGCTGGGATTCGAAGCCAACCAAGAATCTGCAACGAGAACCTCGCAGCAAGTCTTGAGGGCACCAGCACATTGTCTTTGTGAAACTGTTGGTAAATGCATATGTTTTAGACATTTATTTAATCAAAGGCTTCAGCTTCTGAGCATAGTGTAACAGAAGATTGAAATAGGGATACACCTACATACAAAAAACAATAGCGAATACGAGTCTCGAGCTCCCCAAATAAAGCAATCCCTGCGATCCACAGAGCATATCTCAGACTTCGTCAAGACGCTTGTTGCTGGGAAGTGTTCCGCCAGGTCCGTGGATTCCCCAGTCCAGTTCCAGGGGTCCTACACTTCAACTTTTGGCCACGCTAGTAGTAACAGGTGCCTTACTAGTAGTAACAAAAAGCAAGTAGAAACAAGTGCCTTACTAGTAGTAACAAACCGCTCCAACCTAATAGCGATGCCATCCAACCGAATAGTAATCTTTAAAACAAAAACAAACCATGGCTCATCTAGGCCTTAAGGCATGCTTGTCGTCTTGCCCGGTTTCATGTTGACGTCAACTCGGGAACTGTCCTCGCAGCATCTCGGTGAAGACCCGCTTCGAGTGGTTCAAATTGTTGTACCAAACTCCGTAGAAGGCTCCCGGTCTTAAGACACTCACGGCCTCACAATATGCAATCAAAACGATACAAGGCGCTGACGGCCCTTTCAGTCCAGGCAAAGACCCTTTCAGTCCAAGTATCGCCATGATAGTTGCCAGAAACGTTGGACATAAGCGAGAACTCATAGACCTCTGCCGAAGGACGGCACAAAATTGTCGAAACCCAAAGGCCAGTATGCAAGCTCTCCCTCAAGCAATAGCCACATGAAACAGAGACCAAAATGAACACAGTCGAGCAAACCCAGTCTGCACCATTCAGCTTTACCTCGCCTCTGCCTGAACAGATCTCAGCGTAACTCTTGCATCAGGGACCACAAGCCTCCGAACAGGCACAGGCAAAAGCTGAGCTAAACAGTGAACAAAACAAGCTTGCTTTTGTTATGTTACATGCAAGTGTTCAATAGCGTCCTTGCTCCTAGTAGTAAGGCCAGGAGCCCCTAGTAGCGTCCGATCGCTCCTAGTAGCGATGCCCTTTGCTCCTAGTAGCGTCCTTGCTTCGATGTTTTGTCCTAGTAGATTCCTTTGCTAATTTGAATTCTAATTCAATTTATTTCTTCAATTCTTGTTTCTAGCTTCTTGTTCCTGGTAGTAAGGCCCTTGCTCCTAGTAGCGATGCCAGGAGCCCCTAGTAGCGTCCTTGCATGAAACAGAGTATGCCGGCCTTGTTGCTTGGGCGGCAGGTCCTTCGCAGAGAGGCTGACAACGCAATGAATCGGCATCAAAACCTGACGCTCCGTCAGACCGAACGTCACAAAACCTACAAGCAATGTTACTAGTAGCCTTCTTGTTACTACTAGTAAGGCACTTGTTACTAGTAGCGAGGCACTTGTTACTAGCTAGTGCTGTTGTTGCTGTTCCATTGAACTGCACCTTGCGGACCGTCTAGTCCTGCCATTCCTGCACTTTATGCAATCAGCATCCAGGCCTTCCATCTCACGCCAAAAGTAGATCATAAAGGCATAGTGCCTCAGGAACGCAAAGGTTGAGTTCACACATGGGCAACTGCCAAAAAAAGCTAGCTATCCTAGGGCTATGCCTTCAAAAGTTTGCAGATCAGCTGCCCGTGCACCAGCGGGTCACCCCACATATCTCGGGCTGTCACCTTTGGAAAGTAGATCCGACAGGGTCGAAGTTCGATACAAATCTCCCGGTATTTGTTGGACAAAAGAACTTTGTTACTATATAGTAGCTACTTGCTCCTTAGCGTCCCTGCTCCTAGTAGTGAGGCCAGGAGCCCCTAGTAGCGTCCTTAAATATGTATATATATAAGACATGAGGTTCACAAAAAAGACCTAAGAAGATCTTTTCCATCGTTTGAATCGAAATGACTCCATTGCATGGAATGCATGGAACGCCTTGATGGTGGCGAAGTCGCCCGCGTGGCATGGCGAGTTCAAGATCTCGAAGGTGGACTGCGTTGAGGCGCCTGGTTTTGCTTTCAGAACTTCCAGGAACAAGAACGCTACTAGGAGCAAAGGGCATCGCTACTAGGAACAAGGACCCTACTAGGGGCTCCCGGCATCGCTACTAGGAGCAATACATGCTTCCAATGCTTGAAGCGATGTCCTCCAATCTACTATGGCCTCCAACCTAGAAGGGATGGCCTCCAACCTCACTTGTACATGTTTAGTAAGCAATGCTGTGAACAAATCACTGAAAACATCATGCTTGGTGGTGAGTCAAACGATCCTCAATGATCATCAATGATCTATGAAAGCAAAGCTTCTATGTTGGTAACAGCGATTCATCCAATGATTAGCGTCCTTGCTCCTAGTAGCGATGCCCTTTGCTCCTAGTAGCGTTCTTGTTCCAACATTCCCGAAAATAGGATGTCCAATCTGTCCAATTACTCAATGCTTCCTCGACCCTGCCTGAAATGGACATAACGAAACAACTCCTAGCCTAGGGTGCTCAAAAGCAGGCCCCTCTCGACATCGTCCCTCATGCTGCGCTCCTATGGCCGGCAGGAGCCAGTTGCGCGAGTCGGGCACTGAAGTGGCTGGCATCACGGTGAAGTACATTGGTGCACGCTGCACCGGCACGCCATCGCCTGCAGAATGGGAGAAACAGCTTTCTCTTTCAGACGGCGTTACGGGAAGCGGGCATTGACACGCCTAGGACCACCAAACGGTGCTCGCCACGTTGCATGGGAGTGAAGAAGACCGTGACCTCGAAAGATCGGGGATGCAAGTAGGGGCCCGTAGGGCTCCGTTGTAGAGGCGGCTTGGGATACTCTACTAACGCGAAAGCAAGACACAAAACCTCCGCATCGTATCCAGTCTAAGTAAGCGAGCAAGAGGTTGGAATGTAAGTATACTTGGACACTTCTGACAGAGATTCTTGGCCAACTCGTGGTGTGTGTTTGTGCCGGAACCCTTGTGTGCCCGAGGCTGTGCCTCTCCCGGAGTGGAGCGCACAGCTTCAAAGACAAGGGCCTAGCAGCTTCAGAGGTCAAAAGGTCCAAAGGTCAAAAGGTCAAAAATGTGAAAAGAAAACTAAAAATTAACATAGAAAGAAAAAAAAGTGTTCAAAAAAATAACAGAATAGTCTTTAAACGCAGCTTCACTGCATGAAGCTGCTAGGTGCACTGCGTGCGCTGCCTCGCCTCTTGGGTACCATTCTCGATGCGCTCCAAAGAGATGTACAAACCTGAAAAGGAAAAGCTAACGAAAAGGACGAAGAAGAAAAGAACAACCTGCATCTTTTTTGGGGGGGAGGCCACAAGTAGAGGTGAGGTAGGTTAGCTAGTAGAAGAGGTAGCCAGTAGCTTAAATAGCTACTACTTAGGACGCGGCAGAGGAAGCTTCCTTGAAGAAGCGCTCGCACAAATGATTTGGTTCCTAGATGCTTAGGGAAACTTAACTAACAGCAATGGCCGCCAACCTAATAGCGATGGCCTCCATATGGTGTAAATAGAAAGGCAGTTTGAAAAGGACCTGTCTGGAAAGCTTCAATGGCATATGGGGTAAACAGCAAACGATGGTGAAACCAGAGACTATCTGAGTCTATCTGCATGGACACACAAGTTGTGGACTCGTCAAGAGATGTTCAAGCAATTCTGAACGACTCAATTCGCTCGATCTGCGTGGGACGCTTGACAGCTTGGCTTGCCAGGGAGCTTTGCATTGCTTCATCATTTGCATTGTTTCCTGAAAACCAGTTGAAAGCGTGTGCCCGGTGTGGGTGCTTCTCGGAACAACCGAACAAACTATCAGCAGCAAGTCCAAGTGTGCAAAATGCTTGTTGTGCTTTTGCTGCCCAAAAGGCCACAGGCATCTCGAAGATCCACTTGCATGGTATTGGGCACTCCGCTGAAAACTTGCGAGATGGGAGGGTGTACCTCAAACTCAAACATTGAAGAGCATTGGCAAAATGTTGCATTTGTAGCTGTTTCTGACTTGGCATCTTTGTTCGTGTTTTTTTGTTTGGTGTGTGGTGTCCCAAATGTACATCCTGCCAGACTGGTCTGGCCTTGGAGGTTTCTGCCACCAGCTCGCCACGAAGAACCTGCAGTGCAAAGTGCCAGGTCAAAAGCGGGCATGGAGCACGTGCCTTTTGACTAATTTGACGACGTGTACTGAGTAGGCTAAGAGTAGACAAAGTGGAGAAGCCATTGATCAATTTTGGAGGTTTTCACCTAAACCAACAGTGCCTGCAATAGGAAGGGGCTGCTGCCAATCGGCCGCCAAGCCTTCGACATACCGCATGTTCAACCACACAGACCCTCGTCCATTGAAGCGTTCAATAAAAACATGAAAACAAACACATTGCTGAAGACGATGACATATTGTTGTTTACTCAACAAATCTTCTTCAATCGATGAATTTGTTTTTGCAATTATATAAGTTCAGTCAGACATGTACCTCGTCTCCTAGTCTCCTAGTGATCTGTTTTGAGCACCATGTCCTTGGACTGCCAGTGCAAAGCCTTGCTTAAAACCACAACGACTGGCACAGATGGGAAGCCTTAGATTCGCATTGTGCCATGACAATAAGTGGACTGCACACCATGGCCACTTGTTCCTGATTACTTAACTACCCCACGCATTTAGGCTCACCTCAGAGAATGCTTTGAGAAACTTCCCTCCTTGCTTCCGTCATTCCTTCCTTCCTTCCTTCCTTCCGTCCTTCCTTCCTTCCTTCCGCCTGCCTGCCTGCCTGCCTGCCTTCTTGCCTTTTGGATTTCCGTTACAAGCCCGCCTCTGTGGTGTAGAGCTCAATAGTCATGGCCGTCAGTCCCGCCTGTCAACACGGACTGCTCAAAACTTGGAGCCAAGAGAGTACCTTGAAAAGGATTTGGCTGGCAACTAGTTTCCTAAATCCGCCCGCACCGAAGGTGCTCAGGGCGTGCATAAACAACTGTAAGGTACAGGTTTACCTGCGGGGGGACCTATTTTTTGGCCAAAATCAATTGGTTATTGATAGGTCGCAACGGCGGACTTCAAAAAACACTTTTGTGTACAGCACGGAATGGACTAGTTCGTGCATGCGCCCGCCTGGAACCGGCAAGAGAAAAGTGACAACCACTGTGTTTTTTACTTTTGGTCTTCGATTTTCGGTTTTGAGACGCGTTTTTTTCCATGTGTCTTGTCGGGAGGCCGGGCCAGATTTTGTGATTTCGGAGCTGTTTGGGTGATGGTTTTCGCCGTTTTTGTTGGGCAGAAACATTGGTTTTTGCAATGTTTTTGTACATTGCCAAGGCTTGACGTCTGCGCGCGAAAATGTAAAAAACCTAGCAAGTAGCAGTGATTTTGGCGACCATGTCGTTGAAAACGTCGCAAATTGCAGTACTTTTTTGACAGCAGGTTCAAAAACACTGTAAATAGCGGGGTTTTTTGGCCACGGCAAGCTCAAAAACATCGCTATTTGCAGTGGTTTCTGCCTCACAGAGAATAAAAGCATTGTAAATACCGTACACAGTGGTGTTTTCGGCAACATCAACCTCAAAAACCTCGCTATTTCTAGTGGTTTTTGCTTTTCCGGTGTATGAAAACACTGTCAATCACAGTGTTTCGGCAGATGCGAAGCTCCACAATGAGACTTTGGAGGGAAACGCGGTTTTCCGTACCCTTTTTGGTTGGGTAATTGTTTCATGGCAGTGCAGGCGGACCTTGCCGCGGAGCGGCGTGAATATGCTGTGAACATTCGGAACCCAGCCACACCACATTCAGATCGGAGGAAAGAACTCACACAGAGCTGACTGAAAGGAAAGAGAAGGACAAGGAATGACAAGGATGCTTTAAAGGACCTGTCACCTAAGCATTGACAATAGATTTATTTAGTTAGCATTATATGAATCTATATCAGTGTCCTTCCATAAAAGTATTGATGCCTATAACTAATTTTGGTGGAGCTCCAAACGCTTTTCGTTGCCTGGCACAGCCGGTACTCCACAGAGTAGCCTGCAAAACGACTCATTTGGCTGCAATGCCAATAGCTCTAAGCATGAACACTTGCACCTTGTGCCCCACTTTGCGAATCTGCTAGATTGTGCCCCGCTCAGGTCCGGTGTATTTGTTTTTAGTAGCCTCCTTGCTCCCAGTAATTAGTAAGGCCCGGAGCCCCTAGTAGCGTCCTTGCTCCTAATAGAGAATCCCCTAACACGTTCCGTATTCTTACTTCCTAAAACCTCTTCGCTCGAAGGAGGATGGCATATGTCCACGGCCGCGCAGGCTCACAGTTCTGCCACGTCACTTCCATCGTTGTTGTCCGTGATGAAGCTGTAGTCCTGCGATCAAAACGTTCGGAGCAGCCCGAAAATTCAGTGTTTTTCTGTGTGGCCAGCTATCCTCGAAACGTCCAGTCCTCAGGAGATGTGAAGCCACTGTCGAAGGTCACGTTGACGCCAGGGCCCATGTCCCTCAGCCAGTCTAAGTGTCTCTTTGCGCCCCAGAAGCCCCAGAAACTGATTCAAAGTAACACTTTGTGGTGCAATCGACTAGGGGCTCCTGGCCTTACTACTAGGAACAAGAAGCTACTAGGAGCTCCTGGCATCGCTGCTAGGAGCAAGGACGCTACTAGGGGCTCCTG